TTAGTAAAAAATAAATTAGCAAATATTTTGCATATAAGATAATTTAGAATTCCCTCATTTATCTAATTTAGATTGAGAAATTCTAAATATAGTTTTAGTAACTAAAGATTTATTACTATATCCATGTCTTATATAAAAATTACCATCCTGCATCTATAAACCCAGATAATCAGCTATTACTATTTAATAGTGAATTATCAATTAGATATTTTTCTAATTTATTTTCTAATAATAATGTCCATTATAATTATATCAATCAATTAAAAATTTAATCTATCTATTTAAGTGTTCTAAATTTACCATTATTAATTTTATTAATCTTAATAATCCCAAATAATCATTTATTACTAAATCATAGGCATTAACATTCTTTTTTTTGAAATTGAACCACAATTTAAATTTTAGAAATAATCATAGCTAATAGAAAATCTTTTTAATAAATGTTATTTGAATGATAGATATTATATTACCTAATTTTGATTTTAATGTTGTAAGAACATTAATAGAACCATCACCTTCAATTAAACCGCTAAATAATAACCTAATTGATTATTATAATATAAATTATTATCAAAATTATTTAATTCTTTAATAAGTAAATTATTAATATAATTATTATACTTATTTAATAATAAATTTAAAGGATTTATTAAAAAATATATAATTAACTTTCGCGTGTAGTCTCTGAGGTTCCTTATATTATATATATTGTATAAGTTACCTGCTGATTGTCCATTAATAAATAAATGGATGTTCCAGCATATAGCGAAATATAAAGCTGCCAGTTTATTATTATTAGTTTAGCAGCTAATACTAGTATTGATATTAATATTAATACAGCTGTTATTAATACACTTCAAGTAAATAAATTTAATTTAGAATAATCCATACCGTTAGCACGCATATTCATTATTGTTACCATTAAATTTATTGATCCAAATATAGATGAGAATCCTGAGAAGTGTAATGCAAATATAGCCATATCAACAGAAATACCACTATGTGATTGTAATGATGATAATGGTAGATATACAGTTCAACCTGTTCCTAGACCTTCGTCAATTATTGTACTTAATACAGCAAATAATAAGCTAAGTACTAATAATCAGAATGCAATGTTATTTATTCTTAGGAATGCTGTATCACTTGTACCTATCATTAATAGAACTAAGTAATTACTGAAAGCTCCCATAGTTATTAGCATAACCATAAAGAAAATCATAAAGACGGCATGAGCGGTCACCAAGAATTGGGTAGCAGTAGTATATCTAATAGGTTTTATTCTATTAAATATAAAGCCCCACCGAACCGTACGTGATAGTTTCCCATCATACGGCTCTCCAGAGATTATAAGCCAAGACCTAACTTAGAAGTTATACCTTTATAAGTAATATTACCCTTATGTAATTTTATATGGCAATCTCTACATAATAGTACTTGTTTTCTATTAATTAAAATCATTCTCGATGTTATATAATCATAACGTTTAAATAATCTTAATCTATATAATTTTTTTATATGATGCATTTCTACATTTTATATGAATTACATATAATACAAAGATTATTTAATGTTTGACGAGAAGCAAGTAATCAATATTTTAATTTTTTAATAATAAAAGTATAGGAGATAATTCATTAAAATTAGATTTATTAATTCATGCTTTATATGAATATTCTGAATCTATTCTAACAATATTATCAAATACATTTCTAAGAAATTGAGTTATAATATCGCCTTTATTGTCCTTAATTCTTAATAGAAAACCTAATTTTTAATTAATTTACTTTTAGTAAGTATTCTTAATTTTTTTGCCAATGTTAATACACAAGAATAATATAAAGTATATCAAATACGATGTTTTAATTTATTATAATTAGTAGCTAATCTATAATAACTTAAGATTCCTCTACCTACCATTAAATAATGATTTATAATTACATGAATTTCTTCATGCATTAATCTACCTAAACCTGTAAGTTGAGCAAATCTACCATTTTTACAAGATCTAGCATAACCATGATCTACTAAGTTATTTAATATATATCTAATTAGAGCATTTATTATAAGTCTAGTATTATTAAGTCCTCTTATAGTTCTAATACTATAATGTTTATTAACAATAAGATACTTATGTCTTAGAGTAATTTTAATATCATATCCTAAAAATCTAGCTAGTTTTTTACTAGCACATTTAATAAATGTTTTATCCTTATTAATATTTAAATTTAAAGTTTCTATAAATTTACTTAAACTATCTTGTATAATAATACAATCTTGTTTAGAACCTATAACACCTAATAAAATATCATCTCCATATCTAACATATTTTAATCTTTTAAAATCTAGATCATTTTTCAGATGAAGATTTGTAGTTTTAGCTCTTAATTTAGATAATTTTATTCTTTCTGAAAATAATTTAGCACGTCTAATTAATTGAGATAATTTACTATATTTTAGATCTATTTTACGAACTGTTCCGCAATTAAATTTATCAATATATTCATCTAATCAATCATCAATCAAAGATAAAACTATATTACTTAAAATAAGACTTATAGTCGCTCCTTGAAGTATTCCATAATTTAGATTATGATATACACCTTTACTATCATAATATCCAGCTTTTAAAACTTTACTAATTAAATTAATAAAACCTTGATCATCAATACGTTTTTTTAATTGAGATATTATTAAATTATGAAGAATACTGTCAAAGCATTTTAAAATATCAATTTTTATAAATCAATTAACACTATTAAAATTATTTCTTATTTGTCAAATAGCTGTATGGCAACTTTTATTAAGCCTAAAACCATGACTATTATTTGACATTAATAGTTCAAATATAATTGTTAATATAATTTTTATAGATTCTTGTATAATTTTATCTCGTAGATTACCAAAACTTAATTGTCTAGTACCACCTTTTAGTTTAAGTATTTCTATACTACGACTTAGATTTATTTTTAATCTACCCGATCCTATTTCATTAGAAATAAAATCAAATCAATTATTACTAATACCATCTAAAGTTTGTCTAGAAGTACCTTCAATCATATTACTTAGATTACTCTTAATTTTATTATAAACTAATTTTAATAAATCAGGATCTTTACATAATTTTAATAAATTATTTAATTTAATATCTTTATTTTCACTTAATTTAGCCAATTCTACTAATTCTTTTAAATCCGAAGTATTTAGTTCCTTAGTAGAGAATCCCCTGGTCCCCTTCCTTATTAATGTATTAAGTAAAGTATTACCTAATATATTAAAATTCATCTTTCGATGAATATTCAGTACTACGAGACCTCTGTCAACTCCAAAGTTTCCTTTTTCAGTTGATCCCTTAGTTCTTATATTACCGTTAATAGATTGTTTAGACCCTCCATCTTTCTTAATACTGCTTGTATTTATTAATCTCATTAATCACAACCATCAAACCTCAACGTATAATTTGACAGCTGAGTATTCTATACCCGAATGGTAAGAGGGAATTGATACCCAAAAAAAGACTTTAAAGGAGTTCGTTAACCTAGTCATGCAATCCTTAGCTCAGAATACACCAATCATATCCTTTTTATAACATGCTATTGTCCCCATTAAGTTGGCCCTAATTAGGTAAGTTATATGCTTTACGTATGAATAATATATTTTTATATTATTCGTGATTAATAATACGATAATTATCAAGTAATTATTCCGATAATATAAACACAAAGGCGCACCGTTAAATAATTGCCCGTTGTGCATTAATATTTGTAGATTTAGTGCTGCTAATTCTAATCTCATAATTATACTTAAACTTAACCCTACTACTCCAGAGAATAATGAGAAAATTCCATATAAAGTGAAGTCAATAATTACTCATTACTGCTTCCCAAACCGTACGTGATAGTTTCCCATCATACGGCTTTCCATAATGAAGTCATTTAAATAGACAGTAAATATTTGATTACTTATCTTTAGTACTTGGTAGCGTTTCTAGAAATAATCCTAAATTTTCTCTATAAGAGTTTATAATTCTCACTTCATAATGTAATAATTGACCTCTATGTAACATCATATGATGATATTTACATAATAGTATTTGTTTACGTTGTAAAGATCCAACTCATTTCTTATAAGATAAATCTAATGATTTATAACTACTACGAACATCATTAACTTTACGTAAATGATGCATTTCTAAATTATTAGTAGAACCACAAATACAACATTTTTTAAATATAGATGATTGAGTGGTAGTACCAAACCAATTAGTATCTAATATATCTAATTTTCAGTCTAACTCTTTACCTACTTTATAATCATGATTTGTTAATAAAAGAACTGTTAGAATAAACATAATATCAGTATCTAGACACTTTAATCAAGGGCCGAATTTTTTAAATGCAGCCCTAGCAGATGATAATTTGTACTTCTTAGCTAATGTTTTAGCTAATGAGTATCTCAATAATCAATGCACATTGCCCAACATATGTTTGTTGGCTGCAAATGAATAGAAATTTAATATTCCTCTTCATTTTTGATTAAAGAATTCTACGATACGATCATGACTTAATAGGATAACTGAATCCTTAAGAGTAGCATAGATCTTGTTTAAATGATTACGTCTAATAAATTTATTATCGATTAAACGATTAATTAATTTTTTAAACAGTACATTTAATCTCAATCTAACTGCTCGTCTTTGTTTAACAAGTTTACCATTTTTTGTATGAGATACAAATATTGGTTCATTGTCATACTTCAACTTCTTAATATTAGCTCCTAAAAATTCAAAACCTTTTGATAAATGAGTTACTAATGTTTTCTTTTCATTTAATTCTAACCCACATTCAACTTTTAAAATATCTGCTAATTTAGATTTTATTTCTAATGCTTCTTTATAAAGACCTGCCAATAAAAATACAAAATCATCTGCATATCTAATGTACATAGATCTTCTAAAATTAAGATCATTAGTTTGATATCTAGGTATCTTACGCATATCTAATAAAGCTTGTCTAGCTTCTAGAGTATGTAATAGACCTTTTGTTCTACTATACCGAATAGATATTAATTTATCATATTCCGGATTAGACTTACGTCTTTTTCCTTTAGTATATTCAAGCATGATGGAATATTTTACTATTTTATCGAATCTATCTAATACAATATTAGCTAACATTGGACTTACTACAGAACCCTGTAGTGTACCCATATTAGATTTCATAATCTTTCCTGTTACCAGGTTTTTATACCCTGCCTTTAATAATTTATTAATTACTATTAAAAATTTATCACATTTTATATGATTCCTTAAAGAGTCCATTATTACATCATGAGGTATACTATCGAAACATTTTGTAATGTCTCCCTGTATTACTCATGTATGATGATGTCCTTTTAAATATAAAAGTTTCAAGGCTGAATGTACAGATTTATTTGGTCTAAATCCATAAGATTCTTCTTCGAACAATAGTTCAAAGATACACTCTAAAATTACTTGTAATCCTTTATGTACTATCTTCTCTATTAGAGAGGATATACCTAATAGTCTTAAAGAGCCATCCTTCTTTAGAATCATATGTCGTCTGGCTAGTTTAAAGTCAAATGAACCATTCATTATAGATTTAGATAAATTTTCAAATGTTTTCATAGATATAGAATCTAAGGTGGTTCTATCTAATCCTTTGGTCATGTTACCAAGTTTAGACTTGATTTCCAAATAACATAATTGTAAGAATTCGGTATTTCTTAATACCTTAATTATACCGTTATATGTATTTGTACTTTTATCGTAATATTTACCTAATCTTTCTAAAACAAAGGTATGAGCTTTTTTATTTCTCACTGTCTTTGTTTTATTATCAGATTCTTCATTACTTGAACCCTTCCTTCCCTTTTTTTCAAGGTCCGTACTACGATTCATCCGTGCCCGCTTAGCAATAACATTATTATCACCAGAGGCGGTTACATCCCATGGTTCGTTACTTAGTTCTTCTTTAACATTCAGATTTGATTCTGATTGTTCTGGTTTGATTTCCTTAGCTTCTTGCGCATTATTATCTTCAATAGATAAACTTTCCTCTTTAGGTGGGCTTGGATCTTGTGAATAACCATAATAACAGGAATCTTTTATTATAGCAATGATCCATATGATATCTAAGAACTCATATATCACAACCTCAGTCGTGGTAACCAATACGTATACAAGTTTCTTAACGTAAGCATAGAAATCCTCTCTTATAAAGCCTTTTTCTCTAGAGTTCTTCGAGTTAACTTTACATTTGTTTTGTGCTTTCATAATATGTATCTTATTAGGTTTACATATTACCAAAACCCGAGATATGTATTCTATAAAAGAATTCACAATACATAATATTGTATCCAGTCTACAATATATAACTAAGCACGCTCTCATGGCGCACATCCCTATCTGCTTAGCATTAGTGGAAAATAATCATGATTCTACTCATTGGTACCCTTTCGCTATAAGGTTGTTTTTAATTGTATTTATAGAATTTATTGTTATATTATTCATTTAATAATATATTATGATCTTTATTATATTTATTTATTTTTTCTTAGATCAATAATCAAATTAGTCACTTATTTTTTTTTATTTAACCGGGAAAGGTAAGATTCGAACTTACACAGGATAACCAAATTTAATAGCAATAAACACATCTAGCCAATGATTTCTTTCCCATTTTTATTTCCCATTATATAAATATTAATATTTTTTATATTTATATACTTATATTTTAATTTTTTTTATATAAAATAAAATTATAAATAATTTTATATATTCAGACATGTTAGAATCGAACTAACTTCCTCTGAGTCCCAATCTCAGCGTCTCACCATTCAACCTATGTCTGTTTCACTAATATTTTTAACATATTAGTAATAATATATAAATATAAGGTATTAGTTTAATGGTAAAACAACTACTTTACACGTAGCAGAGTAATAGTTCGATTCTATTATACCTTATTATATAAATATATACATTTTATTATATATATATTTTTTTTTATTTAATTAATTATTTTATAATAATGAAGAAATATAGATTATATTTTAACCTATATTATAATTATTATTTAAATTGAATGTGATAGGAATTGAACCTACACAGCACAATATGCTACTAAGACTACAGCTTAGCTAGTAATACCAATATACTAAACACATTCTTCTTATTAATATTAATAATATATTATTACTTATATTTTATAATAAAGATATTAAATTCTTAAATTTATAAAAATTTTATAATTAAAAAAAGATTAATTTTTTAAATTTTATTCTTTCTCCCCCCCCTTTACAGGGGGGATTAGTAACCAATTAGCCCAATCAATTGATTGGGGGGTGTGATATTATAAGAACCATTTCCTTTATTTATTTCTTATTTTATTCCTACAAATATATTTACATATAATAATTATATTTTATAATTAAGTATTAATATCTTAAATATTATTTTTAATATTATTAATTATTATAAAAAAATTATTTATTTTAAAAAAATATAATATTTAATGTCTTATTTATATATTATATTAAATAAATTATTTCTATTATATAATAGATATTTGACATATAATATAATTATTAGTTATATATTATAATTAATTATAAATAATAATGATTATATATTAATATATAATAATAAAATTAAATTATTATAATTAATAAATTTTTAGTTTTTATAATACACCCCCCAAATAATTATATTTATTTTATAAATTCTAAAGCCCCCCTTTATAGGGGGGAGTATTAATTAAATAAATTTTAAAACTTTTATTATTTAAGTAAAGATATTAATCTATAATAATAAGAATATATAAAATTTTAAATATATATATTTTTTTTTAATAATAATTTTATAAATACATATAATAAATTATTTAAAATGAATAAAATATAATGAATATTTATAAATATAAATATCAATAATAATAAAAATAAAAATTATTTCTTAAAATTTATTCTTTACCCCCCTGTAAAGTGGGGGGGGTTAATAATTAACTAAACCAATATAAAGATTGGGGATATAGTATTCCAATTATTATTTCTTTTATTTATATTTTTTGTTTTTTATAATATAAATAAACTTATCCATTATAATGTTAATTATTTCTTTTGTTTATATTCATTAAAATTTATATGATAAATTTTTTAACAAAATACATATACTTATATGCTTTTTATTTATAAAGATTAATTTTTAATAAATTAATTATTAAATAATAAAAATTACTTTTAAGTAAAATATTTAATTTTATTATTTACATAAATTTATATAAATAATTTTTAAATACATTTCATTTAATTTAAATATAAAATGATATTTAGTAATAAATTAAAATTTATTAAAAATAATACTTTTTTCTTAAAAATTAAACCCTCTTAAGAATTCAGAATTAACTAAT